CAACAAAAGCCAGGGAGTGCTCTCCAGCAGTTGGTATCAAGCGAGCCGAGAGGAAGGGGTACCAAGGACAGCGCAGGGCAGCTCAGCAGGCTAGCCGCTTTGGGAAGAAGCTGCCTCAGAAGGGGTGGGCTCTTAAGAGCAGGGCCAGCAGGCTGGTAGACTGGAAAACAGCCTGGCGTCAGGCTGAATGCACTTGAGGCTTGGAGCTAAGAGAAAGGCTTTGATCTTGGCTTTGGAAAGTATTCATGAAGGGATGTGGGTGATGGACGTGAACCCTGAAGGTGGGAAATGAACAGCACTGCCTGCCCCCTTCCGACGCCTTGGACTCTAATCATTAGCTTTGTAAGGAGTGGCAGAGCACGATTTAGGACAAGCTTAGGGGACCCAGCAAGATCTCTGAAGAATGTGCCTTTGACAAGAGATACTTAATTCAGAAAGAAAAGGTAAAAAGAATCAGCTCATTCTTTTGTTTGTCCTTGGGGTATGTTTGGAAACGATTAAAACTCTACTTTGCTTCCATTTCTAGGTGCTGTGAGGCACTTTCATTTAACCTTTTGAAGAATCAGTGATACATATATATATATCTCCATACCCAACTTAATAGCAGAACTAAAATAATAAAATAAAATTTATGTCAGTGTCCTCAAAAATTACACACTTATTTCAAAAAACTCTGCAATCACATTAACAATTTGGGTATCACATTTTCAAGAGACGTCTAGGTGGACAATCACATCTGGTTTTAAACAAATTCAACTGGAAGGAAAATGAGAGAAAGAGGGAGCAAAAAAGGAAGATAGGAAGAGTGATAGAACAGAAGTAGGAGGGGAGAGAGAAGAAAGGAGGGTAAGTTCATGGGAGAGAACCAATAGTCTTGTGCTCATGTTACATTTAAATTTATATTGGGAAGTGACCTGCATTAGGATTCATAAATCTTTCCTTTTTAATTTTCTCTCCTGCCTATTTTCACTGAAGTGAGTGTAATTCTAGGGTCGAACAGAATCTGTTTTCCATGTAATAATTTTTTTCTGGGGGTGCACTTTGTAGCATCTCTGTCACCAACTACTTGTAGCAATCCTTCTCTAACTTTAAAAGAGGCCAGAGAAATTCTCATTAGAGACCCTACTTCTTTGGGGCTTAACTGTTCTTTTTAATCCAATTTTCTTGACATGTATCTCTTCAAACATCCCCCAAATTGTCGTTTAATTTACATTTCTAATGTTACAGGGAGACAATGAAATATGAAAAAAAAAAAAAAAAAGGACTGAGTCCTGTCTTGCTAAGAGAGGGGCAATAAAAGCAGATTCAGAAAGCATGACTCCATGTGGAATTTCTGTTTCAGTTGTTAGTTTTTTTCTTTGTATAAAATAAAAACCGTGATAGAGCAAGAACACGTTCAATCAATAGCAAAACTAAACAGGACAAACACACCCCATTCTTTGACCCTGGCTCAAAACCAGGAAATTCTTGTTCTCTCGGACAGATAACAAACTCTAATATAAACACATCTACTTTCTGCAATACGACTTTCTGGACATGCAATCTCTATAAAGAGAGCACATAGAAGGCTGTGGAAAGATCCTATGGGGGAGAGCTGCACAGGGCTGACTCTGGGGAAGATTCTGTTTTAAGGAACCAGGAGGCTGAGGAGAGGCTGGGAAGGCAGCCCTCCTGTTTGAGGGCTGTGGAATGTAATGAGAATATCTGGTGGAAACAGTCAGCCAAAACAGAGGGAAAAAAAGAAGAAAATAAAACAAGACATTAATTTTAAACTATGCTGAAATTCCAGCTACAAAGAGGAAACCACAACATCCCAGCTGCCAATTCTCCTTCGTCTGATTTTGAACCTTAGTCTTTCCCTTTCCTTCCCAGCTGATGGGGGACAGAGGGTGCAGTGAAGACTGGCTATAGGGACTGTCTAGAACACAGTGAATCAGAATTATGATACTTGAAAGATAATAAAAAGGAGGTTATGTCTCGTGAGTGGCAGGTTTCTTTTATTTGTCCCTAAATTTTAAAAATTAAAAATTTGTTCTCTCATGTACCACATGAAAAATAAGAGATAAATCAAATTTTGCACTTCAGCTGTCTTCAGTGTGAAAATTACATAATTCCCCCTCCCCTACTCTTGAAGTTTTTCTTTAAAATGTCATTTAATGAAGTGGTCTGAATTGGTTCATGTTTGCAAGGCTTTAGGAGCTTGACAACTTTTTTTCTTCTTGGCTACCAATGCAAAACCATAAACAACAGAAGAAAAACTAAATTATTCTAAAGTCTACCTGTTAAGTAATCCCTGGCTTCATTTTGAACAAATAACTACTCAGGACTGGTAACTCAATCATTCTTGTACTTTTATCACTGTGTACCTATATTACCTTAAAAAAACAAGACCATGATATCTCTTTACATGTTAGAAAATTCTAATTAAAGCCTACAGAATGATTTATCCTTAATAAAATAAAAAGTATGCTTCATAAATGAAGATGAATAGAGCTCTGGTGACAGTGACAGGCACTTACAAATTTCATGAAAAATAGATAAAAACCCAACTGGAAACGAGGCCTGTCCTCCTGGACACCTGTTTATAGTCTTAATTTTGCCTTAACGAGATACTACTTATGTCTCCCCACAACAAGAAAAATCAATACTGGATCAATATGGATAAGCAGGTTGGGTACAGTCCTTTGTCCTAAGAGACAGTTAACAGCTGGGTTTAGTTTTACTGGGATTTACTTGAAGACTTGTAACAGTAGATAATGGTACATTTAAGAATATTTGTCTGCTTTGATTTAGTGAGTCTGGCAGGTGGCAGTGGCTTTTCAATGGCATATGGCTTTAAGAAATTACATCAATATATGAATACAATGTCTTTTCCTCTAGTTCATGCACCAAATTAATTATCAAAGAATCCCTGGCTTCATATTTTATAAGCAAATATTCTTCAATGCTGGCTGAAAAAAATAGAGTGAAAAGACAAAAGGAAAAGATACTGAATAATTTGCAAGAGTTTTGAAGAACAAAATAGACAGAGAGACAAATTCATCTCCAGCCTAGTTTAATGAGACAGTATCTAATTCTTTTCAAAGATAATTACTTATAATAGTAAGTGGATGCAGCTAGAGACCATACTCATCAGTAAAATAAATCAGGCCCACATGTATAAACATCATATTGTCTCCCTAATGTAAGAATCTGAAAGAGTAAATAAAATTTGAAAGGTACAATAGATATTGCGAAAGGTAAAAAAAAAAAAACAAAAAAAAACCAAACTGCTCAAAAGGAAGGAACAACTGGAAGGAGCGAAAGAAGAAAAGAAATAAATAAGGAAAGAAAAAATATGTATGTCTGCACAAGAATAGCCTGGAGAATTGTACTGCCGATTTCTATTGGTTTATTGAAAGGAACAGTTAATACTTAGATTTTTTTTCCCTTTTTTGATTAATTTGCATGCTTATATCTGGTAATATGAACAACTGATTTAAAGACAACAATATGCAGTATAACAACCACTGTTGAAGTCCCATTATCTTGTTTAGTGACATTCCGTATCATTTCTAATGTTTATTATTATTATTATTTTTTTTAAAGGAAACACAGGACCTACATGCAACCTATCTCAAATTAGGGAACTTAATGGTGCATTCCCTATAATAGCCATTCTCATACTCTTGAAGAGGATGTGAAACCAGATGAGAATGTAGGGAAAACAGCTCTGCATGTCTTTAATGTTGTGATCTCTTTCACAACATTAAAGACATGCAGAGTTCTTTCACAACATTAAAGACATACTTCACGGATGGAAGTTACAAGATTTCACTATATATGGAAAACCAGCAATTTTAGTTTTAGTTTTCAAAAAAAAAAGTTTTAATAGCAGGGTAATTTTAAGTAGAGTCACATTAGGAAAAGCAAACGATAAGTTTTATAGAAACCACAGTTCAATGAGCCACATTATGTTTTACAATTAATTTCACAGAGAAATTTACCTTTGCAGACCGAAGGACATTACATTCTTGCAAATTACAGAGAACTGTAAATTTGGTTCCTTCTGCAAAATCCTGTAGCTCGTATTCAGAAAAATCAAGTTCCTGGCATATCAGCAGTAGAATTTAAACTACTCTAGAAAAGGTTTCTATCTGGTAGTTGATGCTAATTTCTTTTTGTGCTATCCATTTGTTTTTTTCTTCCTTTAACCTTTTGTAATATAAGAATGTTATGTTGATAGAAAATGAAGTCTTATGCCTATTAAGATAAATGGGTATTGTCTTAAGATTGGCTATTTTGAAAGATAATTCACTTGCTTTATTTACATAGGGTGCTCCTTTAATATGGCTGTACACATGTTAAACTTTAAGCACACAATGCACAGTAAATTATAATGTTTGAGTTATAGACACTTATAGTTTGTGCAGGTATAACTGGACTTTTTCCAGCTTATGTGGGTAGGTGAATATAAGTAAGTACATTAAAATGAATATTTTAAGTTCCAACATATCAACATTATAGCTGTTAAAGAAGCCAATAAATTAGTTTATTGGTTACTAAAATAAACTTTTCATAGGAAATTCCATGAAAAAGGTCAAATGAATTTTTGATCTGAATGTGAACCGGGGAGAATTATTCTACTTTAGGTACCAGTACACCCATTCACAAAGGGGAAATGTTTTGCATTCTCTTTAGTAAGGAAACCTGTAATACTCAGCACTGTCCACATCTGTATCTACACCTACATCTACATCTATCGCTACATCTTCCCACATGTGCCAACACACTATAGCAAAGCAAGTATCCAGGTTTCACATATGAAGAAAGAAAGTGCTCAGAAATCTTCACGTTCAGAGTCCTCCAGTCACCTAGCAACCTCTCTTACTGCAGTTTTTAATTTCGAATATTCAGTGTTCAAATTCAAAGAGGTCAACAAGCAGATGCAAACTAACTTTAAAATGAAATGGAAATAAAACACTGAAACTTGGAATACATTTAAACAAAAGGGTCCCTACCTTTTTTTGGAGAATACGATGGCGACTGCACTTGAGAAAAAGTAGGCTTTTCTTCAGTGAAATATTCAGGTTGGCTGTATTGATTCAGGGCCATGTCCAAGTCAGAGTCCTTGCTTTTAAACATGTTTCCAGGGTAACTACTGGTATAAGGCTGATTCACTGCCCAGGCCTGTTCCATATATATGCTGTCACTGGGCACAGCCTGAACATCACAACCACTGGAACCCGGACTATCTTCAAAATATGTGTAATAACCAGTAGATTGCATGTAGCAGTTGCTACTGGCAGCTGGGTGCACTTCATATATTTCTTGCATACAGTAGTTCATTCTGTTAGCCTGGTTCAATTTCTACTTTACATATACACACACTCTACACATGCACTCAGCAGCCCCATACACCCTGAGAGCCAGGCATATACACTGAGAAGCATACATACATACACATGAAACGAGAAGGGACGATGAATAACCACCACCAACACAGCAACCCAGCCTGCCTTACTTCAGAATAGCACCTGATGTGCTAAACCCTATTTAGGCGGAAGTGCCTTTTGAGCTCTCCTGGCATTCAAACATATTGGAAAGAAGATTTATGACTACGAAGGTCTTAAGCTGTGCATGCAGCTAATGCCTGGGGAAGACAGTGGGCAGGTAGGAATGACCTCCTACAGGAGCTACATGACAGGGGAGTGACAGCAACCATGTCTCTGTCACTCTGAAGCTGGGAAGATGCATTTTATAGGCAGTTTTGAACCCCTTTCAACATGATTAGAAAATGATTACTCATAGTTATGTCATTATGGTTGACAACTTAAGCATGAAACATTATAAAGACATCTTAGGGAATATCCTTGAATACACAGACAATCCTAAAATCAATAATCTGGTTTATTAGTACGAACCAGAGAAAATCCATTAGTAATGAGCCTGATGACTGACTTCAAAACATTAATCTAATTGTACAAACATGAGTGCTTGAATCTGTTGTTGAAGGTTACCAGTTGGCTTTTAATAGCAGGCTCTGACTACCGTCTCATGATACATGGGTCCCACTAATTTTTAAATCACACCAAAGAAAGACATGTTTGAAATTGTGCATACTGTTCTGTTCCTTATACCTGATCACTTTCTTTCTTTCAAGTTATATATTTGGTACAGGGTCTTATTATGAAGTGTGGATTTTCAGTGATCCTCCTGTTTTTATTCTCCCCAGTGCTGGGATTACAGGTGTGTGCCACCATGCTCGGACTTGGTAGCTGGCTCAGTGTGCCCGGAGGTGGGGCCGGTGCAGAATGCAGGACTGGGGATCAAACCCCAGTTCCTGCACTTACCTAAACAGGCACTTAGTCTGCTGAGCTATCTTGCTGGCCCATACTTTCTACATTGTTAGCACTAAACTATATGTGAGCTAAAATTTAACCATCTTTGTATTGTTTATAAGGAAATCAAATCATTGCATGTGTTCCAATGCCCCTATATGAGGAATACCCTCGTATTATAGCAGTTTTTCTCTTCTGTTTGTGTTTAGGAACACTCTATTCAGTAGTATATAAAAATAAAACTTGTTTTATTTCCACTCAGAGTTGCTTTGAAATTATTTTCCAGTTTTTATGTGATTCTTGTAGTGTTAATACACTTGGCACTTAAAGATAGTTATTGAAAAGGGAAAATTACTTTGTGTTTTAACTATAAAGTTAACAAATATCAAATTAGATAATAAATGCTTGGGAAGCTAGTTACTAATGGGTTTTTTTCTCCTTGTGGAGGGAGACCCACAGGTATGTGTGTGTACATGGGTGTGCGTGTGTTCCAGATTATGAGATCAATAAGAACAAAGCTGCTTTCTGTGAAGCCAGGGGTTTCTTCTCTTTTTCTGGCAGCCTGCTGGGCTAGTCCACAGGTAGTGATGTTTACACGTGGGTCCTTCCTGGTCCATGAATACTGGACTGTGTTATTTTTCTCCAGAGGGACCCCAGTTAATGCAAAATTGTGGTATTTGACAATAAGCCAAAGCAAAAGCTTTGGACATGTAGCTCCAGTCGTGAATTAAAACATAGAATTTTGTGGCAGGAACATAGGAAAAAGGAAGGGATTGCAGCTATTCAAGAAACTATGGGGTGTCTGTTGAGTACAAAGCAGTGAAGTGGTGGTTACAAAAATGGGTCCACAAAATGAGCCACTGTTTTGGCCACCAAATAGCTAAATAGCAAAGTATTCAATGAGCAAAGTCAGATAAACCACTGGAGTACAGCCTTCGAGTAATGACATTTTAACATGAAGTAAAGCGGCCACTGGCTTAGAGAATAAGCAGAAGATGTACTCAAGTGAGAGAAGAAACCCAGGACAATCTGTTTGATGGTTAGTAATAATATTCCTAGAAAACTACACCTGAACAATAAAACAAGGAATGTTCTCCAACTGGGATATTTGAACCTGGAAAATGAATCACAACATCCTAGAAAGCACTGACATTACCATAAGGAACAGGGAACACAGCTATCATTTTAATAGTATTTTTACACTGATTACTCTTAAAACAAACAAAAGATTTATTTGCAAGTGTTTTGAAGAACACATACACATAACATTACAATTAACATTTTCTCCCTACTGAAGATGTCAAAACATTTCATTGGAAGCAATGACTATTTTCTGCAAACCCCAGGAAAAGGGATCCGGGCCTTATGTTTATTTTTGTCTGATCTCATTTATTTATTTCAAATTTCCCAAAACGAATCTGAAAGTCAACCTTTCTTTTTTTTTTTTTTTTTGAAAGTCAACCTTTCTTTTTTTTTATTTTTTTTTTTTTATTTATTTATCCCTAAGTGTGTGTGTGTGTGTGTGTGTCCAGCTCAGCCCACCAGGGGGCGG